AAAATGTAAACCTGCTTATTTTTAAAGGTTTGAAGTTTGGTGCAACAGAATTATTAGATAAACCTTGATTTAATCTAGATTTAAAATTAATCACTGCAAACCATTTAGCTATAATTTGAAGAAGAAAAATGCACATTAGGCCTAATGTCTGAAGTGAGCAAGCGGTAATAGGCCTAATGATAATTTAAAATGTCATTTGAAGAAGTGTTTCTTTCACAAAATGGGTATTGTATATATAACTATAAAATATAGCTCAATTTTTCTCCCTCTTGCAGGCACTCATGTCACTTCCATTTCTTTCAGGATAAATGAATGAATTCACGTGTTGTAAATTAGTCTGTAGGCCAATAGAGCACACAGCCCCTAAATTTAGCGATCAACTATGCATATTAAAACTTAACATTTAACATACAACATTTTTTTCTATTAAATGATTTTGTCTTTGTTACTCTTAGTTATAAAGGATGATAGCACAGCATTTTTGAATGATTGTCTTCATGAGTTTGTCTGCATCCATATTGCATGTTTCCTCTCACTTGCAAAGTATGCTTGCAGTTATTTCTTCTAGTTCTTTCAAAGCAGTTCTTTCTGCGTTTCCGCTCACATATTTTTAAATCTGTTTCATTGAGGTTCCAAATAATGTCTCATTGGCTTAGATATAACACCTAGAAGCATATAGCTATTCTTATGCACACATGCAAAGTATGTTGCAGCTGTTACTTCTATGAAATTATGTTGTCTTTGCTATTCTGTTACTAATAAAAAAAATGTTTTCACTGCTTATCCTATTTTGGCACAATCCCTAAATTGAACTTGAGTAGTTTTACTAAGGGCACCCATCTCACATGAAATTGAACTATGTCAAACATATTCTACCTGCCTTCCTGATATAAATTACTATGAATTTGATATGGTAATTAATACTGAGACACTAATTTGGGCAAAAAGCACTAATGACTTGTTTAAGACTTGAATCTTAAAGCTGAGGACTTGCTACTCGACTTGGACTTGCCTGTCTTGACTTGGGACTTGTCTGTCTTGACTCGAGACTTGAATGCAAAGACTCGAGACTTACTTGTGACTTGCAAAACAATGACTTGGTCCTACCTCTGCCTTACATAACAATTGTTCAATAGTTTTGAGGAGTGAACTCAAATCTCTTTATGTCTTTACCATGGGGGTGTTCATGGTGGACCGGAGCATGCGTGAAGGTGTGAATCTGGATGGTGTGCAGACAGGGGAACCAAACAGGTCAAGACTGTTTTCAGCTGGAAACCTAGAGCCTGGGGACTTCAAATGAGACTGAACCAAGCGTCGAGGGGTGGGAAATGCTGTGGTAAACACACACAAACATTCAGCAATTTATACATAATGGGTGCTTTTAGGAAAAGTGACAAGCACTTAAGGCCATTTGACACGCTTTCAAGTTCTCAAAGGGAGAGAGGCATTAAAACAAAGGTGGCACTGAAAGCTTGCCGCCAATCATGCACCATGTTAAATGCCCCATAAGCTCTTAAATATGCAAACTTTGGGTAGTTTGGTGTATGAATCAAAGACTTGCTTTATCTAGCCTGCTGTAAACACATACCAGTTTTCTTCTTATGCAGGGACAGTGCTGCCTTTAGTCGGCCCCAGGAGTGTGTTGTGAGTGTGTCAGGAGTGAAGTTGGCCAGGATGGAAGACAGATTCATTTGCTCCATTCTGAGAGGTGTCACAGCCAGACCAATCCCACTGGTGCCCTGCAGCCAGCCGCATGTTGAGTCCTGCATGAACGTACAGAAAAAAAAAACAAGCAGATGAAACACTTGGGTAAAATCTATTTTTTTCTACAAATCAGTGGCATTTTTTCCTCTCTCTGAAAAATAACATCCTTCAGCCAAAGACCCACTTTTAGGTTTAATTTACTAAACACAGACTAACAATGTCCAAAATGGGGCTTTAAGCGCACAGCCAATCTTCTATAATGACTTTACATTCTACATACCTATACTGAAAAAAATAAATAAATCTCAAAGTTTTGAAGCATATTGCTGGGTTGTCAGATGTTGGTCTGGGATAATAAAAAAAAGTTATGAATTAATAATAATAATACAAATAATAACATTTTGCTTATAGTGGGACCTTAACAATAATTTTTATAAAAAAAATACAATTACTCATTCAAAACATTGCAAAACTAAAAATGTAAAATGGGACTGTCAATTTAGTGTGACAAACATATTTAACAAAACAATAATTAAAAATAATTTTAATAATAATAATAAATCACGCCCCTTGACCCATGCATACATTTCGTATATATTTTAAATAAGCAATTCCCAAATTAATTGCAGAAATGTGCAGGAATGTGTGAACAAAGAGTGAACGGTTACATCATAAAAACTCAATTGTAAAATGTAAAAAAAAAAAGCACGTTTATAAAACATTTTCATTTACTTGTAAAAGAATTGAATGTATTCTTGACAATGATAACTGACCCCTGCAAAAGCGTCAGCTCCAGCAGACAACAAGCTGCAACAGGAACTGTAGTCTCCTGATACAGCCTTTGTTCGCCCTTCCTTTTTCTTGCGCTTTCCATTGAATTCTCCAGTACCCCTCTTTGACCAGCGGCTGACATTAAGTCCACTCACGCAAACTTTACGACCGGTGCCAGAACCAGCACCTGTGCGTTCTTTAGGCACAGCAGATGGTCGTGTTTTGCTATGAGCTGCAGAGGCAGGTGGAGAGACCGGAGGTAGTTGGAATGATGCAGACAAGTGTTGAACAACTGCTTCAGCATTACAGGGAGTCCTATTATTTATTGGACTGTTTAGGATAATATTCCCCGTCTCCTTAAAAGGTGGAGAGGTGGCACTTTCCCTGCGACAGGTGTATGGGGACTCAGTGCAGGGTGCTTTTGTTGGCCCCTGGTGGACAGAAGGATATGCACCCAAGTCAAGACGTGGAATTCTAACAGCAAGGGAAGATAACAGACATTCAGCTTTAAGACGCCCAATGAGGGACTGGTTTGAGCAAACTGCTCCAGGAAAAGGGGAAGTGGAAAGAGAACTGGAGGAGATATAGAGTGATGATTTGGATATTGAAGAGAAGCTGGATGATACGGTTACATAGGTTTTGCTGTTCTGAGTGGTTGCTGCCACGGAGGACTCCAAACAAACTGAGGCAATCTTCTCTTCCCCTTTCCTGCTGCAGCTTTGCGCCATGTCTGAGACATCTGTTTTTTTTAGCATTATGGTTACATCCACTGTGCGACACCTACATATCAGACAAAACAGACAAAACTTAACTGAAACTTTTCATTCAAATAAAAACATTTGAGTTTTACAATACCAGTCAGAGGTTTGAACATATATACTCATTCTTTATTAAAGGGGTCATATGATGTTGCTAAAAAGAACATTATTTTGTGTATTTGGTGTAATGAAATGTGTTTATACATTATAATACATTGTTTCTCCTCTATGCCCCGCCTTTCTGAAACGCATCGATTTTTACAAAGCTCATCGGTCTGAAAAGCAATGTGTGCTGTGATTGGCCAGCTATCCAGTGCGTTATGATTGGCCGAATACCTCAAGCGTGTGACGGAAATGTTACGCCCTTACCATACTGTGATGATGCCCCGTCAGGCCGGAATGATGATTCAAAAACATGAAAACCCATTATGAACGAGGCATTCGTTGCATCCAGTGGGGACATAATTATGGATTATAATAAATTATACTGTATT